CATAAGCATCCAGATGGGCCATATTAGAGTTGCAATGCTTATGTCATCATAAAGAGCCTCATTTGTTTTGTTGTTTTCTTGGCAGTATACGCTCTTCCAATACCAGTCAAGTCAATAAACTGACCTTAGGAGCTAAAGACACCAGCGTCGTGGATGATAGCGGCTCAGGACGTCCTGAGATAGAAAAGGTTTCAACACCATTACACGTGGAGGACAATGAAAGAGACACTGTTCAGTACAGCTACGCTTTCTTTCACTTCATGCTGTTCCTGGCGTCTCTTTACATCATGATGACCCTCACCAACTGGTACAGGTGTGTGTGACGGCAGTGCAACAACTAAAACACACACACACAATATCTGGCGTTTCATATAGTTGTACCGAGTGATGATTGATGTTGTTGTCCCCCAGTCCGGATGCAGACTACAGTGCCATGAGGAGCACGTGGCCAGCCGTGTGGGTGAGAATCTCCTCCAGTTGGGTCTGTCTCACATTATACACCTGGACTCTGGTGGCTCCTATGATTCTTACCAACAGAGACTTCACATAGAGGCATTTCTCACATAGAGCAATGTCTAATGCTATTATGAATATGTGTGTTTAGCATGGTAATGGATCTGACAATGTTAACATGTTTGGTCTTGGCGGAGTAGATCTGCTGTTCGGGACTTGCTACTGCTAATAGACACACAACACACTGCTGTGAGAGAGTGTGTACTGACATGCTGATGCTGTACAATATAGAGAACATGAATGACCCGTAGCAGATCTACACAGGTGGAGGTTATGGCAAGCCGTTTGTGCATTTATTCATTTCCAGGATATGAATTCTTGATATCAAGAATTTAAAGGAGTAGTTCACTTTTGAAAAAACTTTTGCTGATAATTTACTCACCCCCATGTCATCCAAGATGTCCATGTCTTTCTTTCTTCAGTCGAAAAGAAATTAAGGTTTTTGATGAAAACATTCCAGGATTTTCTCCATATAATGGACTTCAATGGGAACCAAAAGACAGTTTCAGTGCAAACTGTTCAAAGGGGTTTAAACGATTCCAGATGATGAATAAGGGTCTTATCAAGCGAAACGATCGCTCATTTTTTAAGTTTAAGTTTTATAAGCACAAATGCTCGCGTTGCTCGAACGAATTGACTCGGAAAAAGATTTATTCATTTTGATGAACGAGTTCGAACAGGAGAGTCACAAACGTGCGTCACAGAACAGAGCAAGGCGAGCATTTGAGCTTATGAAACATAAACGTTGTTATTTATTTATTAAATGAGCGATCGTTTCACTTGATAAGAACCTCATTCATCGTCTCGAATCGTTTAAAGCCCTTTGAACAGTTTGGACTGAAACTGTCTTTTGGACCTTGAACCGTTTGGTTCCCATTGAAGTCCATTATATGGATAAAATCCTGGAATGTTTTCATCAAAAACCTTAATTTCTTTTCAACTGAAGAAAGAAAGACATGGACATCTTGGATGACATGGGGGTGAGTAAATTATCAGCAAAAGTTTTTTGAAAAGTGAACTACTCCTTTAATTGTTGATATCTGTAATTCTATTTTCACTCGTGAAATGTCACCATAGGCTGCCATTCAAAATAAATTGTTGATATAAAGAATTGATTTTTTTACTAGTAGAAATATAATTTTTGATATCAATAATTACATTGTTACTAGTAAAAATGTGAATTCCTGTTATCAATAATTAAATTGTCACTAGTTGAAATGTCTATTCTTGATATGAACAATTCAATTGGTACTAGTAAAAATGATCATTTTTGATATGTGAAAATGTATTTATGATATCAATATTATTTCAGATATGTAAAATGGCTTTCTTACTAGTAACAATCACATTCATGGTTTCAGAAATTAAAGGGTTAGTTCACCCAAAAATGAAAATTCTGTCAGTATTTACTCACCCTCATGTTGTTCCAACCCCATAAGACCTTCGTTCATCTTCAGAACACAAATTAAGATATTTAAGATATTAAGATCGCTCCTGCATACAGTCCATAGGCTTCTTGAGGGACAGGCTTCTTGAGGGACTGGCTCTTGCTGTCCTCGAAAAGTCATTAAAGACATCGTTAAAATAGTCCAAGTGACTACAGGGGCTCAATCTTAAAGTTTATCAAACGACGGGAACACTTTTGTGCGCAAAAAAACAACAAAAATAACTACTTTATTTCAACTATTCGTTTATTTCTCCATGAGCCTGTAAGTCAGTTTACGTAGTGTGATTGCGTAGAGCTACGTCACACGTAGGCTCACTATTGGCCGACGCTGGTCATGTGTGTGTGATGCGTGTGACGTACAATAACAGAAACTTACGCTATTAAACTAGTAACCTGACTCGCGCAGAGGGAGAAATAAACGAATAGTTGAAATCAAGTCGTTATTTTTGTTGTTTTTTTGCGCACAAAAGTGTTCTCGTCGTTTGATAAACTTAAGATTGAGCCCCTGTAGTCACTTGGACTATTTTAACGATGTCTTTAATGACTTTTCGAGGACAGCAAGAGTCATTCCCTCAAGAAGCCTATGGACTGTATGCAGGAGCGATCTTAATATCTTAAATATCTTAATTTGTGTTCTGAAGATGAACGAAGGTCTTATGGGGTTGGAACAACATGAGGGTGAGTAAATACTGACAGAATTTTCATTTTTGGGTGAACTAACCCTTTAACATTGTCACTAGTAAAAATGTAATTATTGATATCAAAAATGAACATTGTTACTAGTAGCAATTCAATTGTGGCTATCAAGAATAGACATTTCAACTAGTAACAATTGAATACTTGATATCAAAAAGAAAGGTTTTTACTAGTAATAATTATTTAGTACTAGTAAAAATATTTCTGATATGTGAAATTAGAATTTCAACTAGTAAGAAATCAATTCTTAATATCAATACTTGGTTTTGAATGGCAACCTATGGTGACATTTCACTATTGAAAATACAATTGTTGATATCAAGAATTCATATCCTGGAAATGAATAAAAGTTAAAACGGCTTGCCATAGTATGGTTTCTGAAAACACACTGCAAATGCTGACCAGGTATTTGAATGTTGAGCAGAGAGCTCATTGGCTGCTGATACAGCAGGAACCAATCAGCTGTGCCCTATAGAAATGACGCGATTGCAAGCAGATTGGGTCCTTTCAGAACTTTTTTATTTGTTTTTATACGTTTAATTTATGGACGTTTTAATTTATTAGTTTGATTGTTTTTGGACCATTGTGCTATTTTGCTGTGCTATGGAAGGTCGTTTCTGTACGCAATAAAAAATAAAATAGGTTATTGCAATAACGATTACCTTTTCTCTCACAATTGCAAATTATAAAAACAGAATTGTGAGATGTAAAATTACAATTTTGAGAAAATGTCAGAATTGTTAGTTTAGTTTTTTCCTATAAGTTTATACCTCGCAATATTATGGAAGCTTGTTTCCGCCACTGAATAAAAAAATATAATAAATAATTGTGACTTTTTATCTCACAATTCTGACTTTTTTTCTCACAATTGCGAGTTTATATCTCACAATTCTGACTTTATTTCTCAGAATTGCGTGATATAAAGTCGCAATTGCGAGTTGTAAAGTCAGAATTGTGTGTTATAAAGTCAGAATTGCGAGATATAAAGTCAGAATTGCGTGATATAAAGTCGCAATTCTGAGAAAAAAAGACAGAAGTGTGACTTTTTTTCTCACAATTGCGAGTTTACATCTCGCAATTCTGACTTTATAACACATAATTGCGAGTTTATATGTCGAAATTCTGACATCTTTTCTCAGAATTGTCAATTCCAAGGCCAATTCCAAGGGGAAAAAAAGACTAACTTTTTTCCCCCCTCAGAATAGTTTAAATCTCACAATTCTGACTTTATATCATGCATTTCTGACTTTATAACACGCAATTGCGACTTTATATCTCGCAATTCTGACTTTATAACTCGCAATTCTGACTTTATATCACGCAATTCTGACTTTATATCTCGCAATTCTGACTTTATAACTCGCAATTCTGACTTTATATCTTGCAATTCTGACTTTATAACTCGCAATTCTGACTTTATATCTTGCAATTCTGACTTTATAACTCGCAATTCTGACTTTATATCTTGCAATTCTGACTTTATAACTCGCAATTCTGACTTTATATCACGCAATTCTGACTTTATATCTCGCAATTCTGACTTTATATCTCGCAATTCTGACTTTATAACTCGCAATTGCGACTTTATATCACGCAATTCGGACTTTTTATCTCGCAATTGTGAGAAAAAAAGTCAGAATTGTGAGATAAAAAGTCGCAATTATTTACTTTATTTTTTTATTCAGTGGCGGAAACAAGCTTCCATACAATATGGACTTTATACCTTGTTAATATTTCAAATTACTTGCAATTGCTTAATTGGGGAAAAGTCTTTATAATTCTCAACTGCGAGTTTAAGTCTTACAATTCTGAGAAAAAAATTTGAATTTGTGAGATATATAATGGTATTTCCAGGGTAAATTATGGGATAAAAAAAAAATCACAATTACCTATTTATTATTCATCTCTGCTTACTGCTTTAGTTTTTTTTTTATTATGGGGAATGTATTTTTTTTTTACTATTAAATATTTTTTTATTTCTATTGGTCAGGCTAAATGGACTGCTCTTTTTATTTTTGTATATTTTACTGCATGTTTTGTACAGAAACTGCTAAATTTTCTTTGAGGATGCAAATATGTTTTGTATATGAATAAGCTTTTTTGTACAACCAGGAGAATTCTTGTATCATAAGTACAATGTAGAATATTAACATTAGTACATTTAACGGTGTATTTCCAATGATCAATTTTAAATATAGATTTTTAAATTTAGAGAATAATTAAATTGAAAATGAGTGATCATGTACAGTGTGTGCTTCTCATTATCAACAAATATTTGGACATTATGAACATTTGTCACATATTTATACCAGAAACTGCATATTATTGATTTCAACACACAGTACACATTTGAATCCAGTTCTTTATTGGTTACATTTACACAAATTTTATAGGAAGGATGAACCTGTTGAGAAGCTGATTTTGAATGTATTTTTAGTGGGGTTCAAAATATACAGCTGTCGTTTTTTAACAATTATTGCATTATATTATTATTTATATTTAACACTACTGTAAGAAAAACATGACTAATCTTCACCAAAATTCCTTATAAACACATTTTCAAAAAATAATCAAAGGCTTTCCATGTGCAAATGTAGGTCTCTTAATTTAAGGCTCTATTTATGAATCAAGAACTTGTGGTCATCTTTACATTTATATGAACTTTTCATTTCCAACAGCAAAAGCTTGTAAAAATAAAACTTGTGTGGCACTAACATGTATTTTATCCGACCATAGACCTCTTCCGTCCTCTCAACCGAACCTCGTCCAGCTTCTTGATGACCGCAGAGGACTTTTTGGACGAAGCCGAGTAACTTTTCAGAAGTTCCTCAAACAAAGTCTCTGTTTTGGGGTGAGTGCTGAGAAAGGCTTTCTCCAACACATACAGGTCAACTCCTTTATCTTCCGGGAGAGCAGAAATGTAACTCAAGCCGAAGTCGATCAGAACCAGGTGAACGTGTTGCTGTTCGTCTCCGGGGATCAGAAGCATGTTGGAGGTGGTGAGATCCCCGTGGATGACGTCTTCATCGTGCATCTGAGCCAGGACTTGGCCGATCTTGACCGCTAGAGCCTGGAGGTGCTGTGGGGTTTGCTCTGATGCGATGTGGTCTCGCACCGACACGGAGTGGACAATATCCTCCAGGAAAATGCAGTGAGTGGTGTAGTCAACAAAGTACACGACAGGCGCGTTGATACCTGCGACAAAGGAAACCAACACGGTTTAGATTTAATTAGTCTATCGCATCCATCTAACCGTGTTTAACCGATCAAATATGCACATTTTTAGAATTTATTTGCATTTTGGTGCTTAATTCCAGCATTTTTTTTTTATATAAATGATGAAATATTAAAAAAGAGGTGGATGGAAACATTGCTAGTGTTTCTCAGATATCGCTTCCTGCACCTTTAATGAATTGAGATGTGTATATGAATTTATTTAGGAGTGACTTTAAAATAAAAGAAAATCACATGATCTGGCACCTGGATCTGGTGCCCTATCTAGTGCACTGACCTGCTCTTCTGGATCTGGTGCCCTATCTAGTGCACTGACCTGCTCTTCTGGATCTGGTGCCCTATCTAGTGCACTGACCTGCTCTTCTGGATCTGGTGCCCTATCTAGTGCACTCACCTGCTCTCCTGAATCCAGTGCCCTATCTAGTGCACTCACCTGCTCTCCTGGATCTGGTGCCCAATCAAGTGCACTGACCTGCTCTTCTGGATCTGGTGCCCTATCTACTGCACTGACCTGCTCTCCTGGATCTGGTGCCCTATCTAGTGCACTCACCTGTTCTCCTGAATCCAGTGCCCTATCTAGTGCACTCACCTGCTCTCCTGGATCTGGTGCCCAATCAAGTGCACTGACCTGCTCTCTGGATCTGGTGCCCTATCTAGTGCACTGACCTGCTCTCCTGTATCTGGTTCCCTATCTACTGCACTGGCCTGTTCGCCTGGATCTGGTGCCCTATCTAGTGCACTGACCTGCTCTCCTGGATATGGTGCCCTATCTAGTGCACTGGCCTGTTCGCCTGGATCTGGTGCCCTATCTAGTGCACTAACCTGCTCTCCTGGATCTGGTGCCCTATCTAGTGCACTGACCTGCTCTCCTGGATCTGGTGCCCTATCTAGTGCGCGGACCTGCTCTCCTGGATCTGGTGCCCTATTTAGTGCACTGACCTGCTCTCCTGGATCTGGTGCCCTATCTACTGCACTGACCTGCTCTCTGGATCTGGTGCCCTATCTAGTGCACTGACCTGCTCTCCTGTATCTGGTTCCCTATCTACTGCACTGGCCTGTTCGCCTGGATCTGGTGCCCTATCTAGTGCACTGACCTGCTCTCCTGGATATGGTGCCCTATAGTGCACTGACCTGATCTCCTGGATCTGGTGCCCTATCTAGTGCACTGACCTGCTCTCCTGTATCTGGTTCCCTATCTACTGCACTGGCCTGTTCGCCTGGATCTGGTGCCCTATCTAGTGCACTGACCTGCTCTTCTGGATCTGGTGCCCTATCTAGTGCACTGACCTGCTCTTCTGGATCTGGTGCCCTATCTAGTGCACTGACCTGCTCTTCTGGATCTGGTGCCCTATCTAGTGCACTCACCTGCTCTCCTGAATCCAGTGCCCTATCTAGTGCACTCACCTGCTCTCCTGGATCTGGTGCCCAATCAAGTGCACTGACCTGCTCTCCTGGATCTGGTGCCCTATCTACTGCACTGACCTGCTCTCCTGGATCTGGTGCCCTATCTAGTGCACTCACCTGCTCTCCTGAATCTAGTGCCCTATCTAGTGCACTCACCTGCTCTCCTGGATCTGGTGCCCTATCAAGTGCACTGACCTGCTCTCTGGATCTGGTGCCCTATCTAGTGCACTGACCTGCTCTCCTGTATCTGGTTCCCTATCTACTGCACTGGCCTGTTCGCCTGGATCTGGTGCCCTATCTAGTGCACTGACCTGCTCTCCTGGATATGGTGCCCTATCTACTGCACTGGCCTGTTCGCCTGGATCTGGTGCCCTATCTAGTGCACTAACCTGCTCTCCTGGATCTGGTGCCCTATCTAGTGCACTGACCTGCTCTCCTGGATCTGGTGCCCTATCTAGTGCGCGGACCTGCTCTCCTGGATCTGGTGCCCTATTTAGTGCACTGACCTGCTCTCCTGGATCTGGTGCCCTATCTACTGCACTGACCTGCTCTCTGGATCTGGTGCCCTATCTAGTGCACTGACCTGCTCTCCTGTATCTGGTGCCCTATCTACTGCACTGGCCTGTTCGCCTGGATCTGGTGCCCTATCTAGTGCACTGACCTGCTCTCCTGTATCTGGTTCCCTATCTACTGCACTGGCCTGTTCGCCTGGATCTGGTGCCCTATCTAGTGCACTGACCTGCTCTCCTGGATATGGTGCCCTATAGTGCACTGACCTGCTCTCCTGTATCTGGTTCCCTATCTACTGCACTGGCCTGTTCGCCTGGATCTGGTGCCCTATCTAGTGCACTCACCTGCTCTCCTGGATATGGTGCCCTATAGTGCACTGACCTGCTCTCCTGTATCTGGTTCCCTATCTACTGCACTGGCCTGTTCGCCTGGATCTGGTGCCCTATCTAGTGCACTCACCTGCTCTCCTGGATATGGTGCCCTATAGTGCACTGACCTGCTCTCCTGGATCTGGTGCCATATCTAGTGCACTGACCTGATCTCCTGGATCTGGTGCCCTATCTAGTGCACTCACCTGCTCTCCTGCAGCGCAGTATGGATCGCACCTCCTGCGTGGTTCTGCGGCGCGTCAGTTTCTCATCGACTTCAGGATGGCGATATAATTTTGTAAATCTCTCTTTAATAACCACGGGCCGTCCCAAAAACGTAGCTCGATAGACACGGGCCTCTGCGCCTTGTTTAATCAGCTGTGCCTCTTTTAAATACGCCGGAACACTCGCTTTTAGTGAGTTTGACTGAGCCATGTTCAAAAATAACCCATGCGCGCTCCCGTTCTCACCCTCTCTGTTTCCGGAAATGCCACACACGCTGCTGCTGCTGCTGCTTCTACTTCTTCTTGTTCCTCTTTTACAGCGCACACCGCCACCTTCCGTTGTGATTTCACAATATTTTGCACACATTTTGGGAACGTCACTTTGGATATAAATATACAAATATATTTTACTATATAATTGCATTACATGACAGGCCTATATTATATTATACTATACATTATATATTATAATTGCATTACATATTATATTATAGGCTATTATATTATATTTATTATATTATACTATATTACATACATTATTGTATTATATTTCATTATATATTATACTATATTATATTACAGTATATTAAATAAATTATTACATTTTAGTACATTATAGGCTATATTATTTATTATATTACAGTATTTTATATAAATTATTATTGTATATTATATTACATTATATAATATATTATATTACATTACATTATATGACATATTACTCTATGTAATATTAAATTACACTTTTACATTAAAGGCTAAATTTTATATATATATATATATACACACACACACACACATATTATATACATTATTATATTATATTACATTATATTGTATTATATATTATACTATATTATATTACAGTATATTATATAAATTATTATATTATATATGATATGATATAATATTACAGTATATTATTTAAATTATTATTATTATTTTACATTATATGACATTTTATTATATATTATATTAAATTACATTTTACATTATAGGCTATATTAATATTATTTTTTAAATTATTTTTTAATTTTTTAAATACTTATTTACACAACACAATTTACAAAATCTCTTGTTGGGACTATATTAGTATATTATATTACAGTATATAATATAAATTATTATATTACATAATACATTATATTATGTATTATGATATTTTACATTACATTTTACATTATAGGCTATTTTATTTATTAGATTGCAGTATATTATGTACATTATTAAAATGCATTATATTATATATTATGCTATTATTTATTATATTATACCATATTATTACAGTATATTATATATATTACATTATGTTATATATTATGCTATATATATATATATATATATATATATATATATATATGCTATATATTACAGTATACATTATATTACATTATAATATATTATGCTATATTAAATTACATTTTACATTATAGGCTATTATTATATTTATACAATATTACATTACAGTATATTATATAAATGATTATATTATATTATATGGTATATCATCATAATGTATATAATGAGGTGTTGGCCAACATTCCCACAGTAAGTGTATCGTCTTCTGTCTCGAGGCTCGTGTGTTTGAGGAGGAAGAGTTCCTCCTGCCACGTAGCTCGACTCTGACACACTTCAGGGACAGAAAGACGCTTTCGATGAACTTTCCGAGAGCAGAAGGCAGATGAAAAAATGAAGCAGACGCTACAGTAGCGTTTCCATGTTAAACAATGACAGTGAACCGCGTAAAATCACGGGATAAACACCTCGCCTGAGGAGGTGAGAGGAGGAGGTCTGAGGTGAGAGGAGGAGTAGCGGGAGCTGTGTTTGTTTCGTCTAACAACTGTTGGAAGCGTCGATGCTTTATTTTTATGCTTGTGTTGTGAAAAAAAGGTCTTGCAGAACTCCATTTGACAGCGGCTTGCTTTATAAAACTTTACAGCCATAAACGTGGACTCTACAGGCTATGGTTTTCGAAGTTTTTTGAGAACAGGATTCCTGTTAGAAACATCAGCTGCGGGTTATTTATGGCTAATTAAGAGACGTCGTCTAATTAAATCAATAGCGCCATCACGAGAGTTGTCATGGTGACAGCGTTCTGAATAGCCTGATTAGAGATCAGACATTCTCCTTCACAACTCTCATTTAATATGTCAATGTTTTTGTTTTGGTAATAGGCCCTGTTCCGAACGAGACAGACTCGTTCCGTTTTTGATGAACCAGCATCTTTAAATTCGGATAGAAATGGGTAAGTGTCAGACCTTTACAACGTTTGTTCTTAGTTTTAGTACATCATTTTAAAAGTAAAGTAAAAATGTAACATATGTTTATGGGTATTTCTCTATAGCAGACAAATGAAAGATGTATAGCAGTTATGTGCTTTTAACGCATGACTCTAAAGTAATGCAATAAAGATTAATTTGCAGCACAAGATGTGACCTACCATAAAAGCCATGAAAGCTTGTTTCCGTCGTGGAATTAAACAATTTAAAAGGTATTTTCGACTTTTTATCGCGCAATTGCTGGAGTTAATGATTTTATTCTTTTTTTTTTTTTTTTACTTCATAAAACTATAAATGTAACAGTATTTTAGATGATATGCTGGGGAAAAGGTCAGAATTGTGAGATATAAAGTTGTAACTAAGTTACCTTTTTATTTTTTTATTGTGTGGTGAAAACGAGCCTTAAGACTAATGTACATAACTGATAAGAAAGAAAAAAAACTAAAAAGAACATATTTGAATGGGAAAAAAACATCAAATATGAAGTGTCACGTGGGTAATTCTGGAATGTCAATTACGGGTTTCGTTGTAAATTAAAAGATTACTTGTTCTTTTTCACTTCCAAAAGCTGAAAATGTAACAGTGTATTTCACAGTAAAATTACATGAAATCTTGCATTAGATTAGTTTCACTGTGTAAATAAAAGTTTCCAATAACCAACTTTTACTGTATTATTCTTACAGTCTTTTATCATTTAAATTATTATAATTCTTTATTTAAAAAAATAACTTATTTTGAGTTGGTCAGGTTCTCAGAACACCAAGAAAAGTCCTGGATTTCCTTATATGACTGGTTCAGAGCTGCAAAGTTACACTGATCAAAATTTTTAATTTACACCCATTTTTTCATGAGCTGAACTCAAAGATCTTAAACTTGTATGTACACAAAAGGCATATTTCTCTCAAATATTGTTCTCAAATCTGTCTAAATGTGTGTTAGTGAGCACTTCTCATCCATCTACCTCACATGTGTGGCTCATCAAGATGCTGATTAGACAGCATGATTATTGCACAGGTGTGCCTTAGGGCCCGTCCACACGAAGAAGCGTTTTGCTGTATATATTTTTCATATATTTTTTATCGTATTGAATTTATCGTTTCGTCCATACGGATCCAGCGTTTTGGGAGAGTGAAACCGCTATTTTTTGAAACAAGGTCCCAAAGTGGATAAATCTGAAAACGACACCCTTGCGGTTTTGTGTGTACAGCCAATCCGTATAGTTTGTGAAACGATGATTTCATCACATCACGTGTCGGCTGCATCACACGTCGTCTTCTTCTTGGTTCGTATACAGCGCAAGGTTATGCACATGTTCAAAGTCTTCTTCTCTGTGTATAGTTTATCTCTGTTGCAGAATTACAGTGCCCCATACTGGTCTGGCATACATACTACACCGTTTTCAGTTGGTTTCAGTGGTTTTGTGTGTATGTAGATATTTCTCGAGACGACGTCATGTTTACAGATTTTTTTTAACGAGGAAAAAAAAAGTGGATAGGGAACGCACCGGCTCCAACGCGCCGTCTCCAAAGGCGTTTCGGAGAATTTGTCAGAACATCCAACCGGCCTCACAACCGCAGACCACGTGTAGCAACACCAGCCCAGGACCTCCACATCCAGCATCTTCACCTCCAAGATCGCCTGGGACCGGCCTTTCGGACAGCTGCTGCAACAATCGGTTTGCTAATCCAAACAGTTTCTGCACAAACTGTCAGAAACCATCTCAGGGAAGCTCATATGCATGCTCGTCGTCCTCTTCGGGGTCTCGACCTCACTGCAGTTCGTCGACTGAACCAATTTGAGTGGGTAAATGCTCACATTCGATGGCATCTGGCACGGATTTTACGGACAAGGATTTTGAAGGCCGATACCGATACAAATATTTTTTGGTTTTAAAATCCGATATTCCGATATATTGGCCGATATTTTATTTATTTTTTTATTTTTTTAAACTGGACATGATAGTCACAAATTTTTGTCATGCTTATTTGAGTCAAGAGAACTGATGGGGACGTTCTTTTATTTGTTATTCAAGCAATGTATGTATCGTGACCAACTCAACGAGTGTTGCCAACAGTGATGCCAATTTATATGTAGAGTGCCCTCTGGTGGACAAACTATACAACTCCAACACTAATGACATGGTTCAAGTGTGTTTCGTCCGTTTTTATTTTATTTGAAAAATTTGAAATATTCATTTATCGGCCATTATAACTGTCGATACCGATAGTTTGGAAAATGCCTAAAATCGGCCGATAATATCGCTCTGCTGATATATCGGTCTGGCTCTACTTCGGAGTGGACCAACACTCCACAGGCCACAATCAACAACCTGGAGCCCCCCAATAAAGTAAAACTGCACATTTTAGAGTGGCCTTTTATTGTGGCCAGCCTAAGGCACACCTGTGCAATAATCCTGCTGTCTAATCAGCATCTTGATGAGCCACACCTGTGAGGTGGATGGATTATCTCGGCAAAGGAGAAGTGCTCACTAACACAGATTTATACAGATTTGTGAACAATATTTGAGAGAAATTGGCCTTTTGTGGAAAAGTCTTATGGTGCGTTCACACTGGACGCGAATAGCGCATCAGGCGCGAATGATTTCAATGTTAAGTCAATGCTCAGACGCGTTACACGCGTAAAAAATCCTACGGCACGAATGAGGCGTAGAGTGCGGCGTGGTAGACGCGAATATGCCTCATTCATGCGTCAATTTCGCGAATGATTTTGTTATTGCTATTTGTTCAAGCGTTTGACGCGAATTTGCGCCTGCCGCCCGAGTTGAAAAATCTGAAGGTGTCAAATTCGCACCGCGTTAACCAATCAGGAGCCTAGCTACTTGCTCACGTGGTGAAGTATGGATGCTTCAATAAATTATTTTGTAATATGACTAAATTCCTGGTGTGGTTCTAATGCACAACAAAGCAAATATTTTATCACTCAAAACTTTATTTCAATATACGAGACATGTTCATTTTGTATTGAATGTTATTTATTCCATATCTAGATTATATGAAATATTATTATGATGTAAAGACAACCAACATATGTACTTAAGTTCTGTTTATAAAATGTGCTATAGAAATAAAGTTGGATTGGATTGGATTAAGTTCGTGTCTGGACATGAGAGAGAAAAAAAATCACAGGGCAGGTTAATAACTTTTTGAGGCTGGCTCTGTTTATCATCAAAACAAATGACAGATTAGATGGATGAGGGCGAGGGTGATCCTCAATTCGATGCGGGACAACAGGTCATCAAACTGACCGCGGGACAGGCGGAAGTACCGCTGACAGCGGCCGTCATCCAGCGCAGCTCCTGGAGCGAGCAAATGGTGAATCTCGCCAAACGGTTCGCCTCCGAAGGGTCCGGTGGACACAAATACGGCGTCGATGATCCCCACGCCGCTGTTCTGGTCGACATAAAAAAAATGGCCGCCAACGGATTTCGATTCTGACGCGTGTAAATTTCGCTTCAAACTTTTGTTTTTACAGGCGTCGGTTTCACTCTTGACGCGCTAATTAACACAAAGTGGTCAAGCGTCAAACTAGACACTGTAGACTCGAATTTGACGCGCTATTCGCATCCGGTGTGAACGCACAGTTCGGGGGCAAAAATGGGGGCAAAAACAAAAGTATTTTGTTTATTGCGTTTATAATTTTGTTCAGTGCCTTATTTATGTAGCATTTTTTTTCTTCTCTAGGTTGTTCTGTCCTGGCGCTCACTATCATTGCATCCACTCTCGGCGGCCTAGTGTTCGGATATGAGTTGGGAATAATATCCGGTGCTCTTCCGCAGCTCCAAGCGCACTTCTCTCTGGGATGCGTCCAGCTGGAAGCCGTGGTGAGCGCTCTTCTGATCGGATCACTGTTAGCGTCTGTGATTGGTGGATGGCTGATTGACCGCCATGGCAGGAAAACGTCCATTTTACTGAGTAATCTCCTCATTCTGGGAGGCACCATTATCCTAACTGCTAGCATGTCGTTTTCAGCACTGGTGGTTGGAAGGGTCGTCATTGGGTTTGCAATGAGCATTTCGTCCATGAGCTGCTGCATCTTTGTCTCTGAGATGGTCGCTCCCAATCGTAGAGGGTTGATGGTGAGCCTGTATGAAGTTGGAATTACTGTTGGAATCTTGTTGGCTTATGCAATCAACTACATCTTATCTGACGTCCACGCAGGATGGAGGTACATGTTTGGATTTGCTATTGCACCGTCTCTTATGCAGTTGGTGTCCATTAGGTTTCTACCTCAGCAAACCACTGTAGGCCTCGTAGCAGAAGATGATTGGGAAACGCCAAATCGCCACCAAGCTGAACATGTGAAATATAGTGTCTTCGACCTTTTCAAAACCAAAGACAACATGCGCAGAAGGACTGCCATCGGCCTCGGGCTGGTGCTCGGTCAACAATTCACAGGCCAGCCAAACGTCCTCTTCTACGCTTCCACCATCCTCTTCTCAGTGGGGTTTCAGAGCAATGCATCTGCCGTTCTTGCGTCGGTGGGTCTGGGTTTGGTCAAAGTCATTGCTACTCTACTGGCAATGGTTTGTTCAGACAAGGTTGGCCGAAGATCACTTCTGATTGGTGGATGCACAGTGCTGGCTGTAGGATTGATACTCACTGGTTTCTTGTGTGGACAGTCAGTGATTGACACAACAAAACGATGCACTTCATTGGAGCCGCATGAAAATCTGACCTCACTAGCGGAAAAGCATGAAAACGTGGGCAAAAACTCTGTGGATCGAAGCACTCCATCTACTGGAAATGAAACGCACGATGCTTATGGACATTCAAATATTTTATCGCACTCAGAGGATATGTATAAGTGGATAATTTTCATCTGCATGATGGCAGTGGTGAGCGCTTTCTCAGTGAGCTTTGGACCAAGTAAGTTGCCTTTGAGATAACATTTGCTGCAGTTGGGTCATTCCATGTCAAATCAAACAAATTTTGGAAACTTCCCCGGCTCAAATTCTTTATTTTGTTAAACGGATAGTTCACTTTGAAATTAATTTTTGATATGTTTTAGCTTACCTCAAGGGCATCCAAGATGTTTCCACAGTATTTTCAATTTTGATATTTTTAGGTCAAACCGTTCTTGTCTGTCAGTCATATAATGGAGGTCTATGGTCACCACCTCGAAGAGCATGCACAGAGAAGTCCAAATATAACATGATTTAATGAATTAATAAACGAAACGAGCGGTTTGTGTGAGAAAACGAACAGTATTTATATCGTTTTTACCTCTTGTAATCACAGTCACGTCCAAGTACTCTATGGGCGAGGGCGCTTCGGTCTGCGCTCGTTGCATTGATAGACATTGATTACCGCTCATTTCGTGTCTTAGGCCATCAATGTGTACTTACATTTACGAGTCATTAAATCATGTTTAATTTGGACTTCTCTGTGCATGCTCTTTGAGGTGGTGGCCATACACCTCCATTATATGACTGACAGACAAGAACGGTTTGACCTAAAAATGTCAAAATTGAAACTACTGCGGAAACAAAAGACACCTACATCTTGGATGCCCTTGAGGTAAAATATAAAATATTGAGTTTAGATGTAAATTTACTGAGTAATTCACTATTTTGTAGTAGAGGTATAGCAAAAATAGGTCACTTTGCATTCAGCTGATACTTTTTTCTTTTAAAGAGGAATATCTGAACAACAAATAATGTTGAAACTAGAAACGTACCGTACAGTACCGGTCAAAAGTTTGGAAATTATTATAATAATTATGCTCATCAAGCCCGCATCTATTTGATCAAAAATAGAGAAAAAAACCCCCAGTAATATTGTGAAATATTATTACAATTTAAAATAATGTTTTTCTATTTTAATATCCTTTAAATATAATTTATTTTTGTGATGCAGAGTGGAATTTTCATTTTCAATAATGCTTTAATCGCATGAAACTTGTGCGGTTCACAGTGACATGGCTTGTGCTCAGTGAAATCTTTCCAAAGGAAGTCAGAGGAAGAGCCTATTCATTCATCAACTGCTTCAATGTGGGGGCCAACCTCATAGTGACCTTTTCTTTCTTGAGTATAATAGGTATACTATGCACAACAACAAAGACCATACATATGAAATATGAAATGCATATGTAAATTATTTTCATGATTTTCATGTTCTCCTCAGATGTGATAGGTCTGTCTGGAATATTCTTTGTGTACGGAGTGATTGGAATGGCAGCAGTTGTATTCATCTACCTTGTAGTACCAGAGACCAAAGGAAAATCTCTTGATAAAATCGACAGAGAGCTCTCTCAGCGGTAAGGAAACATGGAATATGTGCTTGTTGTGTCTATAAAGTTTGAGTGGTCGAATATTTGGCATTTTTTAAAATCGGCATCAGCCAATTAGCCCTGTCCAAAATGGCGCACTTCATGCGGACTTTCGGTCTCATGGACTTAAAGTCCGGAGTGTGCCATTTGGGACAGGGCCTAAGTTTTTTTCTGTTTGGCCAAGGCGTCGTAAGTGAGACTTTTATTTTGACGGCCTGAACACACAGTGCTTATCCTCTCTGTTTAATTGTCTTATGTTGTTATTATTAGATAGAACTGTTACAAAGAAACTAAACGGTACATACGAAAAAGTATTATAGTCTTGAACAACTGGAATAGTGATGGACGCTGAACTCGTGTTTGATGCGATTCAGCATTATCTCATACAATCCAATCAATGCAATACTCAAAATATATTATTTCTTTTAGATTTTTTCACAGAGAAGAAGTCTGCAATATTTTCCAAAGAAGGCATTTCTCTCCAGGTTATCAGAGAGTTCAATTGACGAGTACAACAACATGACATGGGGTGGAAAGATATAAAACTCCTCCGTCAATATGGATAATTCTGTTCACTTGGTGATATGAAATTGCTCCACGTTTTAATAAAATTAATAGCTTTACCATTTGTAGTAACTATTGTACTCTGGTTCATATGTTAGTAATTAGTGTTAAATCTTTATGAAATCACTGTATACTTTTATAATTATAATTTTAAATAAAGATAAATTACCCCATACATGGCTCTTATTAGTTTGTGACAATATTTATGTGGTAGAGAATGAGTTTAAAGAACGCATTAAAATGAAATATTTAAGATTTAAAACACTGATTATGTGTAATGATCTGAGGAACTGCTCGCAGGATAAAGAAAACATTTACAGAGATATATAAAGGGACATCTACTTTAATATTTCATGTATTTTTGTGTTGCCAATAAATCTACGTTTTGAAATTGATATTCAATTTATATATTCAGTTCAAATAAAAATCAAATGTGATACATGCTTAAAAGAGTCAGTGAAATAGGGCCCATTGTACTGAGTTAATATGATGGAATTTCCCCTATTGATTTAAAATATTTAAATAGGGATTTTAAGTGTTTTATCTGTATTTTGAATTAGGCAGTGCATTGTTTTAGGATTAAAGGAAAAGTCCCAAAAAAAATTTGTGTAAAAAAAAAAATTCTTTCCTCTCTAAATTAAATATAACATCTTGTGTGTGTTATGTCAACACAACATTTCAGTAGAGTAAAACCACAGAGTTAGTTAGCCCTAAAATGAAAATTCTTTCATCATTTCATCACTTACTTTTGGGCACCATTGACTTCCATAGTCATCAGAATCAGAATTGTCTGGTATTTTCATTCCCACACAGTTAATTCTGGCTTACTCAAATGAAGCGAGTACAAAGACTGGACGAGCAGTGACTCTTTATTACTGGATTGTGGCATAGGGAAGTTATGCATTGCTGTATTTATACAAAAATAAAATATGCCATGGCATTGCCATTTTCCACAGTGAGAGGAGCTGAAGACACGACGTTGTGTTGAGTAAACGCGACTGATGTGACCTGATGTGAGCTACAGTAGACAGCACCAAACTACGACCACAACTGTACGACGGCAGTATCATTCACACTCGAGAATACTGCGCTACAGCGTGCTTCACTGGATGCTCCATCTTTTAAAAGTTAAGCTTTTTAATGGCACGACAATGTAAGTAATATCACATCATTCACATGGGATGTTTCTCTTTTTTGAGGATAAGCTCTCAAACGGCCTGCGCACCTCTGCCTGAATAATGCATTAAAGGCATAGGTCACCCAAAAATTGAAATAAGCCCATGATTTACTCACTCATTGCAATTCTGTTAAAGTGCGTCCATCCATGATGAAAGTGCTCCACGCCGCTCTGGCGGGTTAATAAAGGCCATCTGAAGTGAAGCCATGCGTTCATGTAAGAAAAATATTCATATTTTACTTATTTAAAACTTAATAATGAATATTTTTCTAACACAAACGCTTCGCTTCAAAAGGCCTCTATTAAACCCCCCCGAGGCCATGTGGAGGACTTTTATGATGGATAGATGCACTTTTATGATGGATAGATGCGCTTTTATGATGGATAGATGCGCTTTTATAATCGATAGATGCGCTTTTATGATCGATAGATGCACTTTTATGATGGACAGATGCACTTTTATGATCGATAGATGCACTTTTATGATGGACAGATGCACTTTTATGATGGACAGATGCGCTTTTATGATGGATAGATGCACTTTTATGATGGATAGATGCACTTTTATGATAGATAGATGCACTTTTATGATGGATAGATGCACTTTTATGATGGATAGATCCACTTTTATGATGGATAGATTCACTTTTATGATGGACAGATGCACTTTTATGATGGATAGATTCACTTTTATGATTGATAGATGCACTTTTATGATGGATAGATTCACTTTTATGATGGATAGATGCACTTTTATGATGGACAGATGCACTTTTATGATGGACAGATGCACTTTTATGATGGACAGATGCGCTTTTATGATGGATAGATGCACTTTTATGATGGATAGATGCACTTTTATGATGGATAGATGCACTTTTATGATGGACAGATGCACTTTTATGATGGATAGATGTGCTTTTATGATAGATAGATGCACTTTTATGATGGATAGATGCACTTTTGTGATGGATAGATGCACTTTTATGATGGATAGATTCACTTTTATGATTGATAGATGCATTTTTATGATGGATAGATTCACTTTTATGATGGATAGATGCACTTTTATGATGGATAGATGCACTTTTATGATGGACAGATGCACTTTTATGATCGATAGATGCACTTTTATGATGGACAGATGCACTTTTATGATGGACAGATGCACTTTTATGATGGACAGATGCGCTTTTATGATGGATAGATGCACTTTTATGATGGATAGATGCACTTTTATGATGGATAGATGCACTTTTATGATGGATAGATGCACTTTTATGATGGACAGATGCACTTTTATGATCGATAGATGCACTTTTATGATGGACAGATGCACTTTTATGATCGATAGATGCACTTTTATGATGGACAGATGCACTTTTATGATGGATAGAAGCACTTTTATGATGGACAGATGCACTTTTATGATGATAGATGCACTTTTATGATCGATAGATGCACTTTTATGATGGACAGATGCACTTTTATGATGGACAGATGCGCTTTTATGATGGATAGATGCACTTTTATGATGGATAGATGCACTTTTATGATGGATAGATGCACTTTTATGATGGACAGATGCACTTTTATGATCGATAGATGCACTTTTATGATGGACAGATGCACTTTTATGATCGATAGATGCACTTTTATGATGGACAGATGCACTTTTATGATGGATAGATGTGCTTTTATGATAGATAGATGCACTTTTATGATGGATAGATTCACTTTTATGATGGATAGATGCACTTTTATGATGGATAGATTCACTTTTATGATGGATAGATTCACTTTTATGATGGATAGATGCACTTTTATGATGGATAGATGCACTTTTATGATGGATAGATGCGCTTTTATGATGGATAGATGCGCTTTTATTATGGATAGATGCGCTTTTATGATGGATAGATGCACTTTTATGATGGATAGATGCACTTTTATGATGGATAGATGCACTTTTATGATGGATAGATGCGCTTTTATGATGGATAGATGCACTTTTATGATGGATAGATGTGCTTTTATGATGGATAGATTCACTTTTATGATGGATAGGTGCACTTTTATGATGGATAGATGCACTTTTATGATGGATAGATTCACTTTTATGATGGACAGATGCACTTTTATGATGGACAGATGCACTTTTATGATGGATAGATGCGCTTTTATGATGGACAGATGCACTTTTATGATGGATAGATGCACTTTTATGATCCATGGATGCGCTTTTATGATGGATAGATGCACTTTTATAATCGATGGATGCGCTTTTATGATGGATAGATGCACTTTTATGATGAATAGATGCGCTTTTATGATGGATAGATTGGCTTTTATTATGGATAGATGCACTTTTATGGACCTCAAAACAAAAACAACCATTCACTACCATTATAAAGCTTGGAAGAGCTATTTTTTAATATAACTCTGATTGTATTGGTGTGAAAGAAGAATGTCATATACACCTAGGATGACTTGAGGTTGAGTAAATCATGGGCATATTTACATTTTTGGCTGAACTATCCCTATAAGGTGAACGTCTCATGATGAAGTGCATTCAGTTTCAGGTGAACTCATGCTACTGTGAGTGGGGGGTGATGAAGAGCTCTATCTAACAGTCCCAGGATCAGTCAGTGTGTGTGTGTGTGTGTGTGTGGACGTCACTGAGCGGCTCCTGTGGCTGCAGGCACTGAAGTGTTGAGGCTGCTGGGGGCCATGAGGACGGGAGAGCCGGTCAGGGGCCCGAGAGCTGTGGAGGCCGGAAGAGCAGCGATTCCTGATCAAAGAGAGAAGAAAAGAGGAATCTCAAACTCTCCAGCGACACCAGCTGTACTGTGAGCTTTCTTCACATTTTACACTTCCCTAGTGAAAAATAAATATACTAAAATCTACTTGAAATACATTTATTTTATGCTAAGTATACTACAAATACAATTATATTTATGCACTTAATATAAATATCCTATAAATATCCATACTTTTAGTATGCTAAATTCATATACTTAAAGTGCTAAATTGGAACAACTAATTTTGTACTTAACACACTAGTTATCAAGAAACAGTGCTGAGGTCCAACTAAAGATGTACTGAAGTATATTTGATTGTGCTGAAGTGGAACTATTGATATTAAACTTTAGGGACACTTTAAATATCTTACATTTAAAGACTGATATCATACAAACATCATTATATCCTTACTAATAGTGATAATAGTCTTATATATATATATATATATATATATATATATATATATTAGGGCTGGGCAACGATTAATCGCGATTAATCACATCCAAAATAAAAGTTTGTGTTTACATAATATATGTGTGTAGTGTGTATAATTAATTTGTATAAATACACACACATGCATTTATATATTTAAGAAAAATGTGTTATTAATATATCAAATATTTATATATTATATTAATTATGTATAAATATATATAAAGTATATACATGCAAATATTTCTTAAATATATACATGCATGTGTGTGTGTATTTATATATACAAAATAATTATACACAGTTCACACAAACATATTATGTAAACACAAACTTTTATTTTGGATGCGATTAATCGTTGCCCAGCCCTAATATATATACTGTATATATGTAAAATTCATGCCCCAGTTATACTTAATGTTGTCACATATGTCTGGTTAAGTATTACATAAAGAAAAGAGACGAATACCAACTCTATGAACATGGAAAACAGTGATAGATGATCTCTCAAGCGTTACGCTGAGGAGAAAATCCAACACCCCTATTGAGGGGACCAAGACAAACATGATTATGTATTTCTGCTCCGCATTGGACATCAACCACACGGCAAACGCTAATATCTTTACTGTCTACTATTTATGTATAACAGTTCTATCTAATCATGCACTAGACTGGACTGTTAGACTGTTGTTGTGTAAACTTACCCTTAAAGTACGATTAAATCTGCGGTACAAAATCATTATTCTGTTGTTACTTTGATTCCTTGAATTGTGCTTTTTGAAAAGGTATTTTTCAGATTTAAATCATTATAAAATTATAATTTAATATTCATAATAAATATAGCATGGACCATTTTCAAAGACGTGAAGACGCATTTTGACAATCATCAGCATCATAAATCCTGCTCTTTTATTTATTTTAGATTTTCATAAAAAAAAAAAAAACTATAGTTTATATTACCTTTGCATCATATCAAGAAACTAGTTATCTCGCAGTGAGGGGGTTTCTAATAGTGGCTGTGGGAGTGACAGTCTTTCTCTTCTCTGATTGCCGTTATCAATCTCTCTCTTTTTTTCCTCTTTTTTAAAGTTGTGAAAACACTATTTTGGAGTTTTTTTCTTTTGCAATTTGAGCAAATGGGAACGCAAAAAATATATTTAAAGGGGTGGTTGATTATGATTTCACTTTTATAACTGTAGTTAGTGAGTAATGTTGCTGTTTGAGCGTAAACAACGTCTGCAAAGTTACAACGCTCAAAGTTCAAAGGGAGATATTTGCTTTTAAAGAAATAGTTTTTTAAGGACTACAAACGGCTGGTAGGAACTACACAAGCTTCCTCCCGGGTTAGTGACATCACTAACCCTAAAATTTACATAAATCCCCCCCCAACATACACACACAGAGCTCTTGAAGCTCCGCCCACTGTGTCGGGACCTACAGCTCATTTGCATTTAAAGGGCCAGACACAAAACGGTGCGTTTTTGCTTTAACATGCTATATAAAAATATCTGTGGGGTATTTTGAGCTAAAACTTCATACACACACTCTGGGGACATTAGAGACTTATTTTACATCTTGTGAAAAGGGCATTATACCACCCTTTTAATGCATCCTCTCTTCCGCCTCTGAGAAACTTGGAAATGTGTAAAGGTCCATTATCGTAAACCACATGTAGAGTTAATTCACCTGTTATCATCGTGGCGGTGCTGCTCACTACGGTGTTCGCTGTCGGCACATTCGTGGATCCTGCCATGCGGGACTGGTCTTTCACAACAGGGACTAAGGCAAAGGGGCAAGATGTCAGAATTAATAAAAAATCTATTGAAATATTCTCTTAATAGTAATTCAATAGCTTCTTCATTTACTGTATGCACTAATGTAATAACTCACAGAAGTAAGCGTGATCCATGGCCTCTCTCGCAGTCAGTCTGGTCTGATGGTCGTAACGCAACAACTTGTCCAGAAAGTCAAGAGCTTCAGGACTGACCAAGTGTTGGTTTTCACTGTGAACGAAGCGCTCCCATCGCTTACGGGAATGTCTAACGTGAAGCAGATGTCAATCAGATTCAATTCATGTAAAGAAGGCCACGCTAACAATTGCAGGTTATGAATGAAAGAGGCGCAACGACGGATCACCTTCCCAGAATGTCATTAAATCGAGGCTCCAGCTCAATGTTGTATTTATCAATGCAATCATACAGATCTTCTGTTCCAAGGACTTTGGCAATTCTCACCAGCTTTGAAGAAATGGGAACATACAGGAACACTGTAATTAATTCAGTCAGCACAATCATTACAAACAGGATTACAGAAGTAACGACCAACCACTGTGTTCGTTTACGTTACAGAGTATTTAGAGGTTCTTACACTTACATATCGTTATTGCTCTGATTATAGTAATTAATAACAATATGTGCATAACAACAAAGACACTGTAACAGTATGAGATTATTCTTCCGAGTATGATTTTACTCAAGACTGGAATTCACAAAACAACTTAGGGAAATCGCAACAGATTTTCTATTCTTTCTTTCATTTTATTTAAGTTTTTATTACAGTAATTATAACGTTTCCTTACATTTGGATGGTACCTGGAATCTTAGTCAAGGCAAGCCAACCCAATATGTTTGTGGGTCAACATATTTTTTTTTGTGGAAATCAAAATCATGCCGCCAGTGCTGCGATTGAGCTTAATTCAGCTGTTACTTGAACTACCCATCTATCAAGTCCCTGATGATGTTCACCTGGTCATAGTTATCATGTCCATGGAAAAACGGCTCCTTTCTAAAGATCATACTGGCCAGCATACAGCCAAGACTCCACATATCAAGACTGTAGTCATACATCTGGAATGACAAAACAGAAGTGTTTTTAGGTTTCTAAAAGCTGCCTTTGACTACAATTTTTAAAGAGCTTTATTAACTTTTTTTGGCCAGTCTTTGCAGTCAAAATCTAAAGAGAACATATGGGTAACCATCCTAATAAACACTAGACCTTTCTAATCAATAGAGTAAAAACAATTCCAAACTGTACCAGATAGTATTGTGTCAAATATTATTACAGAATGGTGAAACTAACAACAAAATACAACACATTTTCCTCAGTCGGACATTGTTATACGCACATGTGGTAATAAGTCTGACCTGGTAATCGATCAGTAGTTCTGGGCCTTTGAAGTAGCGAGAGGCGACTCTGATGTTGTACTCCTGTCCTGGGTGATAGAATTCAGCCAGTCCCCAGTCAATAAGACGCAACTGAAACACCACAGCATTCAATGATCATTTGACATCTATCTATCTATCTATCTATCTATCTATCTATCTATCTATCATCCATCCATCCATCCATCCATCCATCCATCCATCCATCCATCCATCCATCCATCCATCCATCCATCCATCCATCCATCCATCCATCCATCCATCCATCCATCCATCCATCCATCCATCCATCCATCCATCCATCCATCCATCCATCCCATCCATCCATCCATCCATCCATCCATCCATCCATCCATCCATCCATCCATCCATCCATCCATCCATCCATCCATCCATCCATCCATCCATCCATCCATCCATCCATCCATCCATCCATCCATCCATCCATCCATCCATCCATCCATCCATCCATCCATCCATCCATCCATCCATCCATCCATCCATCCATCCATCCATCCATCCATCCATCCATCCATCCATCCATCCATCCATCCATCCATCCATCCATCCATCCATCCATCCATCCATCCATCCATCCATCCATCCATCCATCCATCCATCCATCCATCCATCCATCCATCCATCCATCCATCCATCCATCCATCCATCCATCCATCCATCCATCCATCCATCCATCCATCCATCCATCCATCCATCCATCCATCCATCCATCCATCCATCCATCCATCCATCCATCCATCCATCCATCCATCCATCCATCCATCCATCCATCCATCCATCTATCTATCTATCTATCTATCTATGATGTATATATGACTAATTATACATGGACTTCTATGGAAGCTTGTTTCCGTGACGGAATAAAAACATTTTGTTTATTTCTCCCAATTTTAAGAAAAGACAGAATATCTTGCAATTGTGAGATTTAAAGTCAGAGCTGAGAGAAAAAAAGTCTGAATTGCAAGATATAAATTTGCAATAATGAGAAATAACGCCAGAATTGCGTCATATAAACCCGAAATAGCAAGAAATAAAGCCAGAATTGCGACATACTGTACAAACTCGCAATAGTGAGAACTAAAGCAAGAATTGCGAGATAAAAACTTGCAGTAGCGAGAAATAAAGTCAGAATTACAAGATATAAACTCACAGTTGCGAGAAATAAAGCAAGAATTGCGAGATATAAACTTGTAATTGCGAGAAATAAAGGCGGAATTGCGAGATATAAACTTGTAATTGTGAGAAATAAAGCCGGAATTGCGAGATATAAACTTGTAATTGCGAGAAATAAAGCCGGAATTGCGAGATATTAACACATTTGTGAAACAAAAGTAGCATTTTTTTTTTTTACATAACCCTCAAACTTAAATGGCTTAGTCTTCAAATATTTTACATTTACAAATATATAAGTTCAACTTTTCTTTTTAGTATTATATTGCGTTATCTTGTACTTTAATTGTGTTTAATGTAACTCCGAAAGTCAATGGTGTTGTCGTATCTTGTCTGAATATGTATATTATAAACCAATACTGTGTTGACACGGTTTATTTGAAAAGTCAACATGGGTTACCTTTCTGTGCTCATGATCAATCATGATGTTGTGTGGTTTGACATCTCTGTGCATAATGCCCATACTGTGACAGAAATCCAACGCCTAGAGACACATACAAACATTTTAATCATATTAAAACCTCCAGAGCTATTTCAGGATATTACAGGAAGGACAATACAAAAAGAATATAGTACTTGATGCAAACACTCACCTTCAGAATCTCAAACATGTAGAAGCGAATGTCATAGTCTGTCAGTGTCTGATACAGTTGCTGATAAAAAACAAGCAAAAAAGGAACTGATAACATGGGGTTGTGCTGTTGTAGATTACTAATAAAATATTGAGATTGAGATTTACCTTAAAGTCTGTGTTGTTGACATGTTCAAAAACTAAGGCGGGTGTTCTGGACTGCAATGTGTAAACGAGTAACATCACAACAAAATAAATACTCAAAGGTCGGCATAGTATACTTCGATTGTTGTTTTTGTATTACGAATATCACACACAAGCAAGCGTTCTGAACACTGACCACAGGGTCTTTGACGATGTCGAGGAGAGAGATGATATTTGGACCTCCTCGAAGGTTCTCAAGAATCGTTATTTCACGCTTTATCTTCTTCTTCTTCACAGGCTTAAAAAAAGATAATTATCAATGATCACAATAAAATAAAAATTGACATCAAGTATGTGTCGTCATCGCATCAAAGCATTGAAAAAAGAGAGAAAAGTTGGTTTATACGTGTATCCTTTTACACCTTAGTCTGTGTGCAACAATATGTTATATTATAATACACCAATATGCCACATTAATATCTGAGAATAGCCTGGCTCCAAAAGCCTTCATGTTTGTACTTGCATCATCATTTTCGTTAACCACAGAATCAGGAGGAGTTGTTCTTACCTTTAGTATCTTCACCACTACTTTCTCATTGTTGGTGATGTTGATTGCTTCAAACACTTCACTGTACTTTCCTCTGCCTAACTTGCGGACCAGTTGAAAATCATCTTGATTGCTGCATGGGAGATATATTCAAATCCTATTCACTTTAACATGACTAATATATGAAAATAAAGAGTTTCTGAGATCAAAGCTAAAGTTAAAGAGCTCTTCTAAAAGCAGAATGGTCACAGCAGAGCAGGGCTGAACCAATGAACTGAAGAGGAAAAACAAAAGCCCCTGAAAACGGTCCGTTTCAATCTGGTGAATCTAACACATTTAACAACTCAAACACAACATGAACTTAAGAAGTCATGCAAACTGATTGTGTTTTCCACTTTAAACATATCACTGCAATCTTGCATTTATGTTCCTCAAACAAATAATAAAAAAAACGATACCTTTATATACAATATGGACAAAGAGGGAAAATTATATCGCGCCTGTGTCTATTATTAAAGGGACACTTCACCTCTGGAAAGATGAATGTGTATTTCAATTGTGAATTTTTTTTTGAATTTGGAGCTTTCTAGACTGAGAAAAGCCAGAAAATGTATTTTTGGCTTATGTGGATGAAAGACAACAACTCCCAGAATGCACTTGCTTCGCTGCCCAAGGAGGCCACGCCTACCGGTAACAGAGCGCAGTCGTTAAACAACAAGTCTAGGTTACTAGTGAGTCTCCGTGATGAGTCTGCCCGAAAATGTGTTTCGAGATCGCCCAAAATGTCCGGGATTTGGCTTTTGCGTTTTACAGTCGCCATTCGTTATGTTTCCTGTGGCGAGCGGGACGAGTGAGGGCCGCGGGTGAACGGCGCGAGGCCGGTGGCGTGATTACCGATGAGCGACACCTGTGAGACGCACCGGTCTCGTATCGCTCACAGAGGAGCGGGGATTTTCTTAGCAATGTTAAAACGCACATCAACTGATCACTTGTTTAGCGTTCATGTAAACACGACATTCAGATCCACCAATCGGAATCAATTCAGTTAGATTGAAACAAAAGCTGTGCATATAAAAAGCTGAATCCCGGACATCGACGGCCGGACATGTCCGGGAAAAAGAGGATGGTAACCCCAAGCTACAACTCAGCTTTCTCCACAGAACAAGAGCCTGCTAGCTTAGCTTCCAAAAAAAGATGTCTGACACTATGTTCATTCTGTGAGTGAGATCGCCCTCTATGGGCGGGTTGAGGACATGCGGGACACTACTGACTGTAGTCTTTAGCCTCAGCACAAAAAATCTGCAAATTTGCATAATTAAACATACAAATTTAAAAAAAACTTGTTATACAATTTTTTATATACTTGTGTAAGTAATCAACTGAGGAAGTTTCATGGTGATATCTATTATTTAAATTTTTTTACCCTATTCACCTGAAGTGTCTCGCCTTAATGTTAATCAAACAACAAAAGACAAAGAAAAATCACTCACCGCTCTGGACTGAATAACTTTTGCAACTTTAATAAGGATTAATCCATGTTTCATTTATACAGTGAAGACTATCAAGTGTTATTTAACATTTGACTGCTTTATTACATTTCTGTACCTAAAGATTGTGAATTTTCACTGGTATCTATAATTTCGGTGTCATAACTGCCTGTTTTTGCAGTTTAAAAATGTCCATGGCCGGTAAATTTTCTTAAGTCACCGGCCATTATTTAATAATAAGTAATTATATAATTTAAGTAATACATACCCCCACTCAATAATATGCGATTCATAGTCCCAGTATTCTCTGGGCCGGTGTGTGTTCACCTCAGTGTAGACTCTGGCACGACTCGGCACAGGTCCTGACATGACACACAGTTTGACACTGCGTTTACTATGCTGCGAATTAAAAATCAGATGGGAAAACACAAGCTGTCTTGCTGAAGGCCACAGAAGATGGAAGCACCTCTAGATGGCTGTGGGAGAAAAATAAATAAAGTGGGAAATCTGTGACTTTGTTAGGATGATACTATTTAAAATAATTCACTAAATATACACTATAAATGATATACAAATTTGAGATTTGAGATATTTTGAACTTATGGAAGTTTGAGAACTTAGTCTAAAAAAAACTCAAAAAAAAAAAATCAAAGCAACAGTTCTATGACTTTCTTTTTACAAACACAAAAATGTGTTTAGTAGCCAACATTCTTCAAAATGTCATTTTTTTGTGTTCTGCAGAAGAATGAAAGTCAAATACATTAAAATGAGCTAAAGTAACATGATTTTGGAACATCTTGTCACAACTTAATTTTATTGTGTTCAATCCACCTCATTGATTTAAGACTGAAGTTTATCAGTTATGATATAACATAACTAAGGGGGCAGTAGATCTGTAGTTCCCATCATGCTTTGCAAGGGAATTAAGTATTATTTTTTTATGTGTTTTTCATTAAGGGGAAAGACAGGTTAGTGGTTAATGTTCAGTTATGTGGTAGATTTAGAAGAGTTTCTGTAATGTGTTTGCATTTTATGGTGAAGCATGATGCTCAAGAGTGGTGGTGTTTCAAAGTTTGAATATACAATTGTGATTTGATCAACTTTGTTCAATTATTCATGTTTTGCTATAAATGATGTTTAGCGCTTGTTTCCTTACAATTATTTTTTACTAGAGCGAGCATTACGCAGCATTATAACTAGAGAAAATGTAATTATTTTTTTTAATTATTTAAATATATTTACATTCTGGAACTGATTAGATGTTAAATCAGCTTGCCATAGTATTATTAAGCTATTTCTAAATAAGAGAAATGGCATGATTCAGTGGTTAAGAGATATTACGCATCAAAAACTCAATGATCATGTGTTATAGCAGTGACATATCTGAAGCACAGTGTAATAAATGTGTGATGAGTTTTCCCTGCACAATACATGAGTAACTGCCGGCTCCCTCATCCCAGCACTAGTCTTCAATATAGCATAACACAAACGCATTTACCTGGTCGATGATCGCAGTGCTGATGCGCTTATGTCCAGCTCGTCGTGGGGATAAATATCCTTATTTCATTGGGATATTAAGTCATTTCTGCCTCAGACACTCAACATGGCTGTTTGTTTGAGAGCTGCTGGGCGTTGAGAGCGCACGCGCCAAACAAAACAGACAAATGCAATGCTGACTGACTGACCTAGACTAACAGAACATTCACATATTATTTTATCATAACAAGCAAGCATGGCGCTAGCAGCACCAATATCGATTCCAAGGAATACAAACTAATTTAAGAAATGTAATACTTTTGGATAAAATGGATAAAAGTATCTGACACACACTGACACATGTACATCTTTCATCTCTTACTGTACGTGCATACTAAAAAACATTGCATTTGTATGTCTAAAAGCCATATTGCATCGTGTTTTTTTTTGTTAAGTCAAGTTAACGTTTTATAATCAAAGATTGTGTAATGATTCAGCAGACACAACAGGATCCATATGCAGCTTTTATTTGACAGTCAGGGATCAACACCAGCAAACATGGCAATGGAGAAAAGGCAGATGACAAGCAATGGTCGGGGCGGGCGACGAAAAGTAATGTCCAGTCTCAATCCAAGTCGAGGCAGAGAACAATCAGAAACAATAATAAATCCAAGATCAAACTCAGGGAACACCGCTCATAAATGATGACCGGGGCAGATCAAGATTTCGCTGAGTGAGAAGTGGTGTGGAAGTGGCTTTTGTGTGTAAATGAAGTGCAGGTGTGTGTGTGTGTGTGTGTGTGTGTGTGTGTGTAATCAGTGCAGGTGTAAGGTTTGGTGGCATCAGTCCAGGGAGGTGTATGATGGGAAATGCGGTCCAAGGAAGTGCACGCGTGGCTAATCGTGACAGTTTGGAAATCTGAAAAAGAAACATTTCTTCATATTTTTAATATTACCCTAGTAAAAAAAGTATAGGCTACTTATTGTATTTGAAATATATTCCCCCTTTTTTTTAATAGTATACATTGCAAATATTCTAACAAAAATTGTAGGCTACTATCTAATAATTACGTAATTGTACAAAAGATAAATTAAAAGTAGCCCATATTAGCATCATGTTTTTACCTGTTTTCACAATACAACTTTTAACACACTTTAAAATAATCGTACTTTAGTATTTTTTCTAAAAAATATATATACTTTAGAAAATATACTTTAATTGAAAATTCAGTTCATTATTTAAAAGTGTATTTATTTGTACTTTATTAAAATATATATTGTAAGTATATTTAACATATGGCCTATATATGAAGAGTTCAGATGCAAAAGCCTCTAAATGCCATTTGAAATTTTCTTCTTTAATGATGATTTTTATCAAACTTGTATATTTAAGTTCAGTAATCTCACTTAAATAACAATTAAAAGGTAATTATCATTGCCATTTAAGTGAAATCACTGAACTTAAATATACAAGCTTGATAAAAATTATCATTCTAGAATTCAAATGGCACTTAGAGGCTTTTGCATCTGAACTCTTCTATATAGAGTTCAGATGCAAAAGCCTCTAAATGCCATTTGAAATTTTCTTCTTTAATGATGATTTTTATCAAACTTGTATATTTAAGTTCAGTAATTTCACTTAAATAACAATTAATAGGTAATTATCATTGCCATTTAAGTGAAATCACTGAACTTAAATATACAAGCTTGATAAAAATGATCATTAAAGAAGAAAATTTCAAATGGCATTTAGAGGCTTTTGCATCTGAACTCTTCATATATATATATATATATATATATATATATATATATTACCGCGCACTACCGAACATAACTTACAGGTAGGCTACAGTTTCTCAATCACCAGAATAATTTTAAAGGTGATAGTTTGACAGCTTTTGTGCCATTTTCTTCTGAGAGTGCAGCTTATCATTGAATTCTGGGTTAGGATAAAGTGTTGTCCTCATAACAGGTTTAATAACATTGACAATAAAAATAACTCTGAACTGTTAAATAGACAATAAAACAACACACACTTTTTTTTTTTATAAAGCAAGCAAATGTTTCAAGCATCGTGCAAAAGAACTATAAAAAACACAAGGCAAATTAACACTTTACAATTATGTCCCATTGGTTATTTAATGAATTAAGTAGGCTAACATAAACTAACAATGAGCAATAGCTACATTTGATAGTTATTCTTTGTTAATGAAAGATTAATTATTTTTGTTAAAAAAAATCTGTTCATTGTTAGTTGATTTTAGCTGACGAACAGCGCCATCTGCTGTCAGAGAATGAATGTGCATCTTCGCACATTTTCGCGTTTCATTCAGTCGTTCCGTCTTAATTTATTTAATTTAATAATCGCCTTTAAAGTGTAAAAATCATATTAGGCCGTATGGCTGTGTATCTAAACTTCAACGACTGAAGTGAATATATATATATATATATATATATATATATATATATATATATATATATATATATAAAAAATAAATAAATAAAGGGAACACTTAAACAACACTTAAAAATTAAAAACAAGAAAACAAGTATTTAATAAGATTATTTCATTCATTCAGATCTATGATGTGTTATTTTAGTGTTCCCTTTATTTTTTTGAGCAGTGTAAATACAGTGTATATGTATATATATATATATATATATATATATATATACTTATACATGTTCTAAATATATATTTATATTATGAATTGTCAAATCGCGCTTTGTTTACTTCGAACCGGAAGTCGCGCCCACTTTTGACGCAAGGCCTCATGGGGCGTAGGAAACTTGTGGATAGTTTAATGTGAAAGTCTTATTAGTCTTTATTTTCCCCCTCGTGAGTTGTGTTTTCTGTTATCAATAAACGTTGTGTGTTTGCATACTGTCTGCAATTGGGTTCATCTGCTATCCACATAACGGTATGTATTAATTATTTATTTCTTATGTGGTTTGTAACGTGGTTGTTGTGCCAGTGTCAAAGATGAATTTCTGTCCAGTACATCTGAACAGACAATGAAGTTAATCAAATCAAACTCGCATTCATGTTATTATATGCCTATATTATATAGATGTCAGTAGGATATGATGGACTTGATTTATGGTAATTGAGAATGAACGTGCACGCGCATCCCATTTATGTTGGAATTCATTAACACACATTTCACTATGACATCTGACGTTTACCGGTTTACGATGTATTTGTAAATCATGAGAAGAGTTTTCGGGAAGGTCTCTTTACGCGCAAATCATTCTCATATTTACTCGTATATTTACGAATGTTTCATGAATGAGACTGTGAGGAACTGCAGGCACTCTGGCCAACGGTGACGTCACGCGCATACCCTCTATTTATAATTTCTGCACATTGAATCTCAGAATTTATTCACCCTTTTCTCATGGTTTCTTAATGGAGTTCATACAAGTATAGAGTAGAAAAGCAATGATTCTAATCATTTGCTCATTGCGTGTGACAACATGCCCCGCCTGCACAACTGGGACAAAGTTCTCTTAAATATAGGATTTAAACCCAGCCAGTCTAAGTTCTGCTGTCACCAGCATTCAAGAACTATCTCAACTGTTAATTAACAGATATACGATAAAATAATATCAGACTTGTTTAAAATGAACACAAGAAACTTACTTTATGGTCAAATAAATGTTCAGTAATATCTTCAATATATAGGCTTTATATTTTTAAATTGTGTTGATATGGCAACTAGAAAATTCGTCCGCTAACCTCCATAATGTGTCGTGTTTCAAATCAATGCCAGTTGGAACTCCTAATCAAATGATAACATTAATTAGGCTACTGCCAGGTGGTGGTTAATTAATTGTATTAACGAGATGAATGCGTTCCTGATATATTAGAGTCTGAAGAGTGGCTTGATAAGGGTTAGTCTTGGGTGATCTGTCCTCATGGCTGTGAGGGAGATTTGTGTTTGGAAGAAGCTCATTTTCACCCTTTTTCTCTTTGCTGTTGATGGACTTAAGGAACCAGGTAAAGTACCATTAGGCTTTGAAGCAAACAGAAGCACTGTTTTTATGTTGGAGTTGTTTACTGAACTTTATAGATGGTGAAAGTAAGCTTTGTGAACCACTACTCTTGATTTGTTTGCCATCCAGTGATCAAATGGATGATGATCATGTGTTTTTTTTTTGTTTCCCCTTTCCTAATCTTGATCATTCCTAACAGATATCCATGACTCGTTTTGATAAGACTCCAATTGTAAACAAAGTGACAGCGTCGATATGGCTCCAGCAGTGCAGATTCTGGTCTACAGCGTTCTTCCCAGTGAGAATGTGCTCTCTTAACACCCTTGACTCCAGTGTGGACCATCGGCCATTCGGCCTCCCTCTGTTGGACATTACATCTTCTTCGCCATGGACTTGCAGCCCATTCGCTGCCCTACGGCTCTCCACCTCTTTCGCCTTTGACTAGCTCCGCCCTCCCTCAGGTTCCACCTCCATATGGTTGCTGCAGCTCTGCCTCTAACCTCAGGATCGCTGCTTCCACTTCAGGGGGTCGCAGTCGCCTAGGCCTTTGTGTCTCACTGCCTCATCGCTTCTCTGGCTACGTTGTGTTCTCCACCTCCATCACCTCCAGTAATCCCCTTGGTAGTGTTAGGACTCTTCACTCCATGGCTACTCCATTTTGCGACGCCGCCGTGGGATGCAGTCCTGACTGTGGGCTGGGTCTCCGTCTGCCCTTCCCTGCTCAAGGCCATCCCCCCTTGGCTGTCACCACCATCTGCACCAACCTTTTGCATGTTTCTCTTAGGCTTTTTATTGTCCTCCAGCTAAGCCGAATTCCTTCCGTATGGACGCCTGCGGGTGCTAGTATAGACCATTACAACACAAAAGACTACATTTTATCCAATGGCTTGCAGTTTCAATGTCCCTAACTAGTCTATTGTTGTAATGGTCTATACTAACTTTTGTTACTGAATGTGATCTTTTAATGTGATGGGCGGAAGTAAGTCAGTCGTCCCGTCCAAGCGTCCGTCCCGTCCAAGCGTCCGTCCCGTCCAAGCGTCCGTCCCGTCCAAGCGTCCCGTCCGTCCGTCCAAGCGTCCCGTCCGTCCAAGCGTCCCGTCCGTCCGAGCGTCCCGTCCGTCCAAGCGTCCCGTCCGTCCGTCCAAGCGTCCCGTCCGTCCGTCCAAGCATCCCGTCCGTCCGAGCGTCCCGTCCGTCCGAGCGTCCCGTCCGTCCGAGCGTCCCGTCCGTCCGTCCGAGCGACCCGTCCGTCCGTCCGTCCGAGCGTCCCGTCCGTCCGTCCGAGCGTCCCGTCGGTCCGTCCGAGCCTCCCGTCCGTCCAAGCGTCCCGTCCGTCCAAGCGTCCCGTCCGTCCGTCCAAGCGTCTCGTCCCGTCCAAGCGTCCGTCCGGTCCGTCCGTCCTGTACCAGCGTCCGTCCGTCCCAGCGTCCCGTCCGTCCGTCCGAGCGTCCCGTCGGTCCGAGCCTCCCGTCCGTCCAAGCGTCCCGTCCGTCCAAGCGTCCCGTCCGTCCGTCCAAGCGTCTCGTCCCGTCCAAGCGTCCGTCCGGTCCGTCCGTCCTGTACCAGCGTCCGTCCGTCCCAGCGTCCGTCCGTCCGGTCCGTCCGTCCAAGCCGTCCGTCCAAGGCCTTGAGCAGGGAAGAGCAGACGGACACCCAGCCCACAGTCAGGACTGCATCACACGGCGGCCGTCCTTCCGTAGCTGGGGGAAAGGTGGTGCAGGTGGTGGTGACAGCCAAGGGGGGATGGCCTTGAGCAGGGAAGGGCAGACGGAGACCCAGTCCACAGTCAGGACTGCATCCCACGGCGGCGTCGCAGAATGGAGTAGCCATGGAGTGAAGAGTCCCAACACTACCAAGGGGATTACCGGAGGTTATGGAGGTGGAACACACCACGTAGCCAGAGAAGCGATGAGGCAGTGAGACACAAAGGCCTAAGCGACCGCGACCAGGCCGCGGCGTCGCAGAATGGAGTAGCTATGGAGTGAAGAGTCCCAACACTAGTCTCCCAAGTCTTTGAGGTGAAAAAAATACGGTAAGTTGTTGTGTGAGGGAAGTTCAATGACCGATCTGAGGCCTTAATCTAAAGCGCTTTGTTTCTGGTTTAGTTTTGCTCAAGTTTGATGTGACCGTAAACGCAATGCAGACCTACGGCGTTGCAGTTATGCAAGACACATTTCTTGTAAATGTGAATGTTACTGAGGAGGAACCAGGTGAGCTATTGGCTGATCTGAACCATATACTTTATCATCTTTAGAAGACCTCCACTTTAAGACACAAAGTTGATATTCTTCACTGTTTGTTTGGACTTTCTCTCGCAGATGTAATGGTGTCAAAATCTGCAATGGTGTCCTTTACAAACAAAGCTGTACATCTCTTGGAGGGGAGCACCTGGCCCAACAAACTGCTGTTGAATCTAACCACAAACAAGAATGGACGGGCTGCGTTCTCCATAAACGGTGCTAATCTTAAGGCTGATCTGAATCTGGTGGTATGACATGTATTTTGTAAAAATTAAGACTTTCTCTAGCATGATACTGATTAAGTTTGATCTTCCCCAGGCGAGTGCTAATCCAGAGGTTTTTTATGGTTGTAAATCGCCATACTTCACTACAGATACAAGGTTTGTACAGCTTCTCCTACCTGTTTCTCCCGACAACCCATCGTTTAGTGAACTGACTATAGTGAAGCTCTATCAGACGCTCAAATGTGGTGCTTCCTTTCCAGTGACCGTGGAGTATTCATTTGTTGGAGAGGCTGGTAGCTACAGCGCGGACATAATCTATATGGTGAGTGGACATTAGTTTTGTAGTTAAGTTTGCTGGTCTGTTTGTTCCGCAACTTGCACACCTATGTCTTCTGTCGGGTCTTATCCAAAGGAGTGATCGTCCTCCATGGATTTCAGACGGTTAAAGCAAAGGCTGGTGATGCAGTCACAAGTGGCTCTGTGACGTTCCAGTTGTCCGTCAGCGTCGATATGGCTCCAGCAGTGCAGATTCTGGTCCACAGCATTCTTCCCAGTGAGAATGTAGTTGCTGCTAGTGTGCCGTTTGACACCGATATGTGTGTCCAGAACCAGGTACTGTATGATGTGGCTATTTTTCAATTTGGGAATGTTGGTGCGTGTCCTACAGCGTGTTGGTCCTTGTTCCAGGTGTCTCTGCAGTTTTCTCCAGCTACGGCGGTTCCTGCGGAGGGAAACGTTCTGATGGTTTCTGCTCAAGCAGGATCTGTGTAGCCTCAGTGCTGTAGATCAGAGCGTCCCGATCATGGAGCCAGGAAGACGTCTGAGTGCTGAAAGGGTGTCTGAGTGCCTCAATCAGGTTTTTTGTTTGGGCTTTTAATCTGAATAATTCAGTGTGTGGCACTTCTGATTAGAATGCCACTCCAGTGTCTGAAGTACAAGGGCCTGAATTTTTATCGCAACTTCAGTGTTGGTATGTCTGTTAGTTTGATTCTTGCTCTAGAAATTGGTACATGACTTAAAGATAAAATGGAAAAAATGTAGGCTTGTGTTGTAATGGTCTATACTAGCTTTTGTTACTGAATGTGGTCTTTTAATATGACTGTCGGAAGGACGTCCGTCCGTCTGTGCGTGCGTGCGACCGTCCGTCCGTCCGTCAGTGCGTGCGTCTGTGCGTGCGACCGTCCGTCCGTGCATGCGTCCGTCCGTGCGTCCGACCGTGCGTGCGACCGTGCGTCTGTGCGTCCGTCCGTCCGTCCGTGCGTGCGACCGTGCGTCCGTCCGTCCGTCTGTGCGTGCGTGCGACCGTCCGTCCGTCCGTCAGTGCGTGCGACCGTGCGTCTGTGCGACCGTCCGTCAGTGCGTCCGACCGTGCGTGCGACCGTCCATCCGTGCGTCCGTCTGTCCGTCCATCAGACACAAAGAGCTAGTCGCCGCAGAATGGAGAAGCTATGGAGTGAAGAGTCCCAACACTAGTCTCCCAAGTCTTTGAGGTGAAAAAAATACGGTAAGTTGTTGTGTGAGGAAAGTTCAATGACAGATTTGAGGCCTTAATCTAAAGTGCTTTGTTTCTGGTTTAGTTTTGCCCAAGTTTGATGTGACTGTAAACGGACTGCAGATCTACAGCGTTGCAGTTATGGGACTGAAAGTTGAGTCTTGTGCCAAGTGAGTGATGCTTTATTTTCTTGTCTTGTGGTTGGTCAGTTCTTTGTCTTGTGGTTGGTCAGTTCTTTATCTTGTTATGATGTTTCCCAGATATACATATGGCCAACCTGTACCTGGTCAAGCCTTAGTGGAAGTGTGCCGTAATACATTTCAATACAGTCTGCTTCATAATTTGACCAGACACCTGCCTTACTGCTGTGGGTTTTCCTTTCGCCTGTGCTTGACTTAATTGTGTCTTTGTTCTCCTACCAGATGAATGCCACGGGCTGTGCCTCTCTTACTGTTGATACATCAGTGTTTTTCAACACCAAATTTGAAGACCAAATGCAAGACACATTTCTTGTAAATGTGAATGTTTCTGAGGAGGGAACAGGTGAGCTATTGGCTGATCTGAACCATATACTCTATCATCTTTAGAAGACCTCCACTTTGAGCCACAAAGTTGATATTCTTCACTGTTTGTTTGGACTTTCTCTTGCAGATGTAATGGTGTAAAAATCTGCAATGGTGTCCTTTACAAACAAAGCTGTATATCTCTTGGAGAGGAGCAACTGGCCCAACAAACTGCTGTTGAATCTAACCGGAATACTGTGTGCGTACATCTTAAAAGTATGTAGTAAAATACTCTCATGTATATATTGGTAGATTTATTTGTGGTTATATTACGTTGCAGTACTAAAAGTTTGTTTGTTCCTTTGAGGTAGTCCATGCACATGTAAGCTTGATCGTACATTAATTTCAGCATAAAACGCTGAATTAAACTTTGAATGTTACCTTTTGATTATTATGTGGAAATTTTTAATTCAGTTTCATCTGATAATTTATTTAAAGTGAACGTGTATAAACCTAAGGAAACTTACTGCTGCTGGACTTGTATAATACTGTATGTCTATCTTCATGCGATTACATTACTTTTATATTGTTCAGTTATTACTAATTTCTGATTCATTGTTTTTATATTCATTATTGTTATTATTGTTCATTTATAGAACCACACCCATGCTGATGTATGAATTGAAGACGGCAGTAAAAAACTTTATTGTGCACATGGACCATGTGACTTATTGTTCTGCCTGAACAATCTGTAGCGGTTGTCACCCAGTTTAAGATCCGCACCTCAACAACTTTCATACAAAATTTTGTCCTTCGAGCCGGAGCAGACAGCTACTACAGCATTACCATGTCTAGAACAGAAAGACAGGCTACGTCAGTGCCACCAGTGGTTCGACCACGTCGACAGGTCATCCCACAAAGATACTTAGATGACTTCTATGTTGATTACACAGTGCCACATCAGTTTCTTCATTCTGATGAACAGCCTACAAATGGTGCCACTGGATCTGAGCCAGGTAAAAGGCCTGCATTTAAAGAGTTCACATGTATTGAAAGCGGACCAGAACTAATGAAAAGTACGAGCACTGGATCAAGTGAGGGGAGTTCGTATGTGGAGACATATCAAGATTTGCCGCCATCACCGCCGCGGCCAATGCCCCGTACTCGGACTTCTCCAAGGCGAATAATTTATGCAGATCAGAGAGTTCTCTCCTCAAGTCCATATACAGCACCCACTGAGGGCAGGCCAGTTCTGCCTAGAGATCAAGATGATCCTTCTCAGCCCATGAGAGCACTGCCTGTAGATTCACGAGGTGACCTTCTGCATTCTCATTCTGTCAGTCACAAAGAGGTTAATTATCTCACTGACAACCTAGGAGACCTGAGACTACCAGGCTCGGCAACTCTGCTAACTTCAAGTCATCCTTTCTCTTCTTATGAACCAACTCAATCCCAACACAAGCTAGCCCATCAAGAAGATACTTCATATCCTCAACCTGGTATTAGGCGCATAGATAGACCGTGTGGTTACTAAAACACAGACCACAGAGGCCATAACTATATGTCCACTGACCAAAGAGATGGCAACCAATATCCTGCAGCTGTTCAGTTTATGCCTCAGGACTACAGTCAAGAGACAGCAGCTACGTATGGGACTTATAAAGATCATAGTCTGAACTGCAAACCCGTCCGCTATTTCCCTTCCACTGAACCATATGGTTATCAGCAACCTTATCATGGGATTCCAGCTACAAGTCCAGTCTATCAAGATGAGAGACTTGCTCCAAGGGATACATTAGCTCACCATGCACATGAGAGACATGCATATGAGAGACAGCTCCTAATCCTGCAGACAAATCAATCTTCTTGACCCCACGACAGTACTCAGGTTACGCTCAGCCTGAGATGTATCAGCCATACCACCCAGTGCGCCCTCCTTGTCTTCCATATCCTCATGTAGAGCCCACCTACAGAGGTCCTATTCCCACCATTCCTCATTTTTGCAGTGAAGATCCCAGAGAGTTTGCACGACTCAATTTCACTGGAGAATTTGCTACCTGCCGAGGCTACAGAACGTTTCACGTACCAAATACTCGATCATCTGAAACAGGAGAATGCCTTGCTCATTGCAGACTCGTACGTCAACAGCAGGTACCCATACACCAACACTATGAGGTCTCTAACTGCCCTTTATGGTCAACTACATCAACTCGCACTACAAAGAATTGCAGAATTGATGGATGGCCCAAAAATCAGGAGTGGTGACACAATCTTTTAGAATGTTTGCCCTCAAAGTGCATGCATTAGTTGGAATGCTGGACCAACTTGGAGCTAAAGGATGGACAGAGCTCAAATGTGGGTCACATGTTTCACGTCTCCTTGCCAAATTGCCCCATGATCTTAAAGCAAACTTCAGAAGGTTTGTCAACCCCATTCAGAACCCAGTTCCAACACTGATAGAACTCAGCGATTGGCTAGAATATGAGCTCAGAATACAAGAGGATGAGTCACAGTACGTTAGTAATGTAAGCAGAGCCTACTCTCAGCCACAGAGAGAACAGCAAAGGAATTGCAAGCCGGTTCAACGATTTGCTACTGTCTTGCATGGTGGCGAACAGAGTAAACCAGCAAGTGTTACAGCAGTCAAGAAGGAGAAACCGACAAAGTACTACCCCGTCTGCAACACTGTGCAGCATTACTTCAATCAGTGCGCTAATTTCAAATTGCTGAATCAAGATCAAGTGGAGTCTTGGCTGAAGGCAAATCAGAAGTGCTTTAGGTGTGGCTGTGATCACCAGATCTCACAATGTAATCTTAAAGCCAAATGTGAAAAGAGACATTTAGAAATACTGAATGACTTCAATGCCAAAGGTAAACATGAAACACAAGCTTCAGCAGAAACGGTTGTCTTGTGAACTTGGAAGTAGAGACTTTGTATATGGACAGACCAACTGCAGGCAGCAAAGTTCTTTTGAAGGTCAGCCGAGTGATCTTGAGAAATGGAGAGAAGGAACTTGACCCATACGCTATATTGGATGATGGATCAGAGAGGAGGACAATGTTACTGTATGAAGCAGCACAGCAACTTGATCTTCAAGGACTTCCTGAAGATATAGCCCTCCGTACTGTGAGACAAGACATACGGGTTGTTCATGGGGCGGCTGTTTCATTCTCAGTAGCTTCTGCATTTCAGCCAAACAAATTCTTCACCATTAAAAGAGCTTTTACAGCCAAAGAACTGCGCCTCGCAAAACACATTTACCCTGTAGAGTTGATGCTGAAGAAATACAGATATCTACAAGGTCTGCCCATTCCCTCATTGCAGCAGGCTCAACCACTCTTACTCATTGGCTCAGATTATCCACATTTAATCACAGCTACAGAGCCAGTATGTCTCGGACCTCCTGGCGGTCCTGCCGCTGTGAAAATCAGACTCGGGTGGACTCTGCAGGGCCCCTCAAACTTCCTTGCCAGTCATCTCTTACCACAACAGTGTCTAACCTCCACTTTGTCGGCAGAAGCCGAACTGTTCAACAATGTACAGAAATTGTGGCAAATGGACACACTTCCGTATAGGAGTGAGACACAGAAGCGGTGCAAATCCTTGGCAGTCGGAGACATTCAAAGGTATGCAACACCTCTCCTCTGGAAAAGAAATCTTCCACCTTTGCAATCAGCTAAAGAAGCCGTAACAGCCCAGTTAAGAAGCACAGAAAAACGCCTTTTGCAGAACACAGGTCTTGCTTCAGTGAATGTTAAAGAAGTGCAGAAACTTGAAAAGGCAGGCTATGTCTCAAAGCTGACACCAGAGGAGACGAATAAAAGCCGATGGAATCAAGGTCCACAGTTCTTAACTCAGTCAGTTAGTAGTTGGCCCAAACAGCCTCATGATGTTGTAAGCGATGACATCCACGAACACCGCAGTTATACTTTCTGTGAAGCGCTATTCTCCAGTCAAACTGATATCCCAGATATCTCTCAATACAATTCACTTCAAGATCTGATTAAGGCTACTTCTATTTCCCTTCATGGGATGGCAGACGAAAGTGAACTCTCTGCTGACAACTATACAGCAAGCTGAACAGGAACTTCTGAGACATGCTCAAGTTGAAAGCTTCCCAGAAGAAATAGCCCCACTCCAGTTAGGTAAACCTGCATCTCATTCTAGTCGTCTTCTAACTCTAGCCCCAGAGTATGATCACAAAGCCAAATTAGTCCGAGTAGGTGGACGCCTCCGCAGATGTAAGCACTTGGACTCAGAAACTCTACACCCTATTGTCTTAGATCCTGCTCACCCTCTTGTAATGCTTCTGATTCAACATCACGACAACCTCCTGTTACATCCAGGACCTGAGCGCGTGTTCGCAGAACTGAGACGAACATATTGGATCGTAAAAGGCAGAGAGGCAGTAAAAAGACACCAGCGCAGCTGCTTTGAATGTAAGAAATGGTGAGGGAAGCCAGAAATGCCTATGATGGTGGATTTCCCTTAGTCTAACCTTCGGTTGTTTCGGCCAGCTTTCTATTCAACGGGCATTGACTGTTTTGGCCCCTTCCAGGTTAAGTTTGGATGCAGATGTGAAAAATGTTGGGGAATACTGTACAAGTGCCTTACTACCAAAGCTGTTCATATTGAACTTCTATCGAGCATTGACACGGACTCCTTTCTCATGTCGTTAAGAAGGTTCATAGCTCGTAGAGGGAAATTATAAGAAGTGCTTTCTGATAACGGCACAAATTTCAAAGGAGGTATTACAGAACTTCAGAAAGCCTTCAATGCACTTCACCCAATCTTGAAGGAGAATCTGGCTTCTCAACAGATTAACTTCCGTCTAAACCCACCAAATGCACCGCATTTTGGTGGATCTTGGGAGAGAGAGGTTAGATCTATCAAGACTGCACTGCGTACCTCTCTCGGTTCTCAATCTGTGCCAGAGGAAGTACTGAACACGGTACTTGTGGAAATAGAGGGAATATTGAACTCCAGACCATTGGGATATGTTTCCTCGGACATTGCAGATATAGACCCAGTGGCACCTAATTCCCTCCTCATGGGACGTCCATCTTCTGGATTACCACAAGTTGTTTATCCGGAATCGGAAATGCTCAGTCGTAGGAGATGGCGCCATAGCCAGATTCTAATTGAAAATTTCTGGAAATGTTTCATACTCCCCGACTTGCAACGACGACAAAAATGGCAAAAAGAATCAGACAACCTTCAAATTGGTGAAGTTGTGATTTATTGTGGACCAGCAAGCACCCAGAGCCTTAATAGATTGTTTCAAGTTTCTGGTGAAGATTTCTCAGAGAAAGTTTTTTTTTCAAAAAGAAGGAAGATGTGTCAAATTATTTAACCGGAACTGTGAAATTGGCAATATGGAAAACCAGGAAAATCAAGGATTGCAGCTTAATAGTATTAATGTTGAAGTGATATTTATGAAATTAGTGGCTGGTAGACTAAAAATAGAATTTGCATACTGTCTTGTAAATAATGAGATGGGTTTCAGTGATCTGTGGTGTGTTAATGATGCTTTGTGTGTTGTTTACGATGGAAATCTGGTTTTGGAATTTTAATGTTTTTTTTTTTTTTTCCATAGATACAAATAATGTTAATAGTTGAATATTAAGTGTTTTAAATAAAGTTTTGTAAACCTCTTTCTCTCTCCTCTGGTGTGCAATCTAAACTCGAGCGTGTTGTGTAGCCATAGCTTGATCTGCTTGAATATTTTAATCGTCTTTAACACATGATTCCGAAGGATAGATTAAAATACCCGTTTTTTTTTAAACAAATACAAAATTATTTTAATTATTTTTTTTATTTTTGGATCCAGGGTTATAAAAAAACATCCGGGGCTGAAGCCCCGAATGCCCATGTCAAACGACGCGCCTGTTCAGCATTAGCCTATGAGATGAAACTCTTTAGGAGAACTATAGAAAGCATAGCCAGGCTTATACATTACAATACATTTGATTTTTTTTTTATAGCAAAACAAAATTCCATGACACAAATTATCCTGTAAAAAAAACACACCTTGTTTTGCATCAATTAAAAAAGAAACTGAGCTTTAATTTACTCAATTTGATTTTAGCAAAAAAAGCAAAAAACTACATATAAACTGTGAAAACAACACGTGGTGATTAAAAGCATACAGGCTCTATGAGTAGGCCTATGTGAACGCTGTTTAACACGTTCTGAAAATCTGAATAATTAATTACAACATGGTGTGAACAAAGTTAATTTAATTTGAAAGCTCTGTCATCTGTCATATTTTTAATGAAATCTGAGAGACCCATCCATAAACTGCAAAGTAACTGCAGCTGCCCCGAAAGGTAGTAAAGACATCGTTAAAGTAGTCTGTGACTGCAGTGGTTTAACCATGAAGTGACAAGAATAGTCTCAGCCTGGAAAAAGACAGTCAACTAGGTGCCTCTATGCCCTGAAATGGTTAGTACGTGATTCTACTCTGTGATTCTACTCTACATGATTCTACTCTATGTGATTCTACTCTACATGATTCTACTCTACGTGATTCTACTCTATGTGATTCTACTCTACGTGATTCTACTCTACATGATTCTATCACGATGGATAGTAAACGCTATCTCTAAACACGATCTATGGGCCTCCAATGCCCCATAGGTGTTAGAGATCCTTCCACGAGAGGCATGGGCTCTTCATGGGTCTGGTCCAGTGGTATACCAATTGAAGACATTTGTGCGGCGGGCGGCTGGTCCTCGCCATCCACATTTGTGAGATTTTATAACTTAGAGGTTCCTGCTCTGCAGGCATGAGTTCTTTCTGTATAAGAGGCCTTGGCCCCGGGAGGGCCTAAGCCTCTAGGTACCCCTCTGTGAGGCCCGACATTGGTCTGGTCATTATTGGTTTCTGACTATTAGCTCTAACATTAACCTCAGGCTTCTCAGCCCTAGGCGATTTTAGGGCGAAGTTGTAAGCCAATGGCACGGCATTTCAAAATGAGTTCCCATAAGCATATTGGAGACCTTTCTCGAAAAGCAACGTACTCAGTAACGTAACCTCGGTTCCCTGATAGTAAGGGAACGAGTATTGTGTAGCCTGCAGTGCTATAACGCTTGGTCAGGTGCTTTCGCTTCAGTCGATTTAAACCTGATTCCTATGGTGATATGGTCTGCTTATGAAGCCAGAAGCCAAGCGGGCTTCGGAGCGGGACACTCTGATAGGTTTGTGCTGTTCCAGCTAGCACAACCAATGAACGCGCTAGTCAGCTCTGCGCTCGCTGTGCAGATGTACTGTGTTACACGTACTCAGACTTATATACTGTACATGTCTTATGTGTGCAACTTTATATTTAGTCTTGAGTTTTCAAAGTCTTGATTTTGTAAATCTGGTCACTTATCAAGGGATCAAATGAAGGTCTGCTTACTCTCAGTGAGTAAAATACAAAACGGTGGTTACTTTTGTAAGGTGTTGTGTTCAGTTGTGGCCACAAGTTAATATAGATGTTATCTTGAAAAAAAATCTAGTAATAATTAAAATAAATTATACTTACAATATCACTACCCTGAATAGGCTGTCCACAAGACAAAATAACAGAATTTACTCAAATCAACAGGTTAAAAAATACAAATGCTTTAGGCCTATGCTTAATACTGTATATGATCGCCCAATTAATGTTTTAGGACTTGTAGACGAGTCTCTTGCTTGTCCTGCTCACTGTTCTTCAGGCAGATCCTCCAGCTCCACTTTTTGGTTTTCCAGCATCGTCTGCATATTTCAACCCTTTTCCAACAGTAGCGACTCAAGACGACAATATGATGCACATCAAAAGTCGGGGTGTGTAAATGTTTTGAACAGAATGATGTGTAAATTATTTTGTCTTCTGGAAAACATGTAACTTATGTGCCTTCTGAAGGGCAGTACATAAGACCTGTTCAAGGATCTTTAATTTAGTACTGAATGCTTTAAAACTTCAGTATGCAGCATCCCCATGGCACTTAAAGGGATAATTCATCCAAAAATAAACAAATTGTCATCATTTATTCACCCTCAAATTATTCTAAGCCTCTGAATTTCTTCTGCTGAAAACAAATGATATTTGAAGACTGTTGGGAAACACTTGGTCCCCATTCACTTCCATTGTATTTCTCTTCCATACTATGGAAGTCAATGGGGACCAACATTCTTCAAAATATCTACTTTTGTGTTCTGCAGAAGAAAGACACTCAAATGATTTAGAACAACATGTGGGTGAGTAAATGATGAAAATTTTCATTTTGGGTGAACTATTCCTTTAATACAGTCATGGATTATTGTAATACAACATGATTACACACAGTCATGGATTATCCAGATAACGACACATTAAGACTTTTGAACGTTTTGTATAAATTCAGTTTCGCGGATTATAAACATCCGGTATGGAAATAGCTTATTTAGAGCAGTACCAAATAATCAAAATGCAATTTTTAGGATCTTTTTTAATTATTAAAATTTAACAGATTCTGCAAGGGGTGTGTAAACGTATTAATCACAGCTGAAGGTGAAGCAACATGTAGCAACAGTGTGTGGGTTTTTGTTATAGACTGTTCAGTCATGACTGAATGGTAATCAAGTTGTTGATTTTTTTTTCTTTAAAACCCAGAGTGCAATTTATCTTAATTCACAACTTTTCTAATTTTTCTATAACATATTGAACACAAAATTTATTCATAGTATTCATGGTGTCAACGCTCTCAACAGCTCAATGGGACGAAATTGAAGTGTGTACTCTATGCAGCACCAAAATAATGTGTCAAAATAACCAGCCATCAATCTCCAAATGCCTTTTTCTCTGCATATGAAGCTAGGATACAATTTATCGTCAAATACAAATTGCACACTTCATCTTTGATGTTGTTAGACATATTCTACCATTGAGCTTCTGTTGTCATTTTGCACAAACGTTTAATAAACCCATGACGTGACCTAAAGCTGAGAGCCTGAAGGAAGAAAGTAATGAGACACCAACCAAGATTCAACTTTAACCGGTCAGGCCAGAAACCTTTGATTAAACAGGCAAGACTGCTGATTCTGACGCTATCATCACTAGAAAAAGATGAACGAAAAAAGAAAGAAAAGAAAACCTAAATATTCCCACCACACAGCATGTTACATGAATGATAGCACAAATTCATTTTCACTTGCAGAACTATTCTCAAATGAGGGCACACAGATTACACTCAATAAGATCATTTGTTATTTTTACAATTTGCATGTATAACAAATAAACATTTAAAAAAAGAGAAAAAAAAAAGATTAGAATGATGTACAGTATTCTGCTGTGCACACCACTACATCCATGGATTCTGTCCAATGGGAGCTCCCCATTGGTTGCTGCAGCTCATGGGGAGTGGTCAGGGGGACTGGGAGGATTTCTCATGAGTCCAGAAAAAAAAA